TATAATGACACTAACTCCTAATGAAGACATCGAAGAGCTGAACTTATTAGAACTGACTGTCATAATGAGGATTTACAAAAGTGTGTTTGTATATTTATGAGAGATGTGCTTCTGCCGTCAAACTCACTGCTGATCAACACACACACACACACACACACTGCAGAGGTTTGGACTGAGGCTGTTTATTAAATATGATTTGATATGATTGGCGTGTGTCTCCGTCATCCGTCGTACCAGTCCAGAAACAGCAGCGAGAACGAACACATGACCAGGAAGAAGAGGATCCACACGCGGAAGCCGGCGTTGTTCTTGATGGCCTGAGAACCGCACACACACACACACACACACACACACACACAGAGTTATGAAGGATCATCATCCATTTAATGGAAAAACAAATACAGCTGCATTTCTTTATGATTTACTGACAAATGTGTATGTGTGTGTGTGTGTGTGTGTGTGTGTGTGTATGTGTGTGTGTGTTCATTACCTCTCTAATATCTTCATTTCCTTCTTTGACGTTCTCTGTTGCACCAACAACCAGTTCATGAATGCTGTCGATCTCAGCCTCCTGTAACACACACACACACACACACACACACACACTCTTAGAAAGGTTTTAAAAGTGAATGTTTAGGCTGATGGCCGATCTCTGAACATGACCTGATCATATATGAAGAACAGACCCAGTTCCTGTGCGAGACGCATGCGGTTATTAATATTAATAAACTCTAGAGGGTCAGAGGTCACGGTGAATCATCACATGCATACGGAAGCTTTGGTAAATCATAATTCATTATTATAAATGGCATAACTCTAATAATTAAAGGATGCAAAATCAAAATGATGACAAAATTATAATTATGACATCAGTTGTTTCATAAAAAAACTTTAATCTGATAATTAATTAATAATGACGTTCAGATTCACCAAAGCATGCGTTTGTTTTCTCATGTGGAGGAATCGCCTCATCACTTTACAGAACGTTCTACTTCCTCTGTTCTCTTAAACCGCATGAAGTGTGTGTGTGTGTGTGTGTGACGACCTCTGACCTGATGGAGGACTTTCTCAGAGAAGATTTCCTGCAGTCGAGAGATCTCCACAACCTTCCCCTCGATCTGCCTGTAACACACACACACACACACACGCACACACACTTGTGATATTTGCCAGCAGTTTCTCTCATATCAGTGTGTATTCAGTGATGGACGATGATAACAGTAAAATCTCACCTGACTTCGTCCAGCAGACTGTTCATCTCACCAACCAGCCTCTGGTTCTCCTGCTCGAACTGACACACACACACACACACTCAGTTAGGAATATTGAAATTAATGAACCCATCAGTAATCCCCCTGATCAGCTCTACCAAACGTGGATGTTTTTCCAAACATTGTTATTATGTTTTGATTGCACTTGACCGCACCAGTGTGATGATGCAGTGTGTGTGTGTGTGTGTGTGTGTGTGTGTACCATCTGTATTTCCTCTGGTGAAAGGTCGTCTTCAACTCTATTGTCCTCCCACAGATCAACATTACTGTCTGACACTGGTTTATCTGCAACACACACACACACACACACACACAGAGAGTGAGTGAGTGAGGTGTGTGTGTGTGTGTGTGTGTGTGTGTGTGTGTCTCACCGCTGTTCTCCTCTCCATCGCTGTGGTGTGTGCTGTGGATCTGCTCTGGTTCTAATCTGGATCTGGAAACGGTTCATGTTCACATCAGTAACACACACTCACACACACACACACACACACACATAATCACACTCACACACACACACAGCTGAAATATCCAGTAAATGATCAATAACACTAAAGTAGAGCACGTGGTTTATCTGTGCAATATTATTCTTATACAAAGAAAATTATAACAATAAAGTTTTATTTCAAATGAAGCGCGTTATAAAATGTTCCGTATAAATAAATCGTTATTAATAATAATAATAATAATGCACAGATTTCTAACATCAGTACATCATGAGCCAGAGAAAAAGAACCATGATTTTAAAGTCCAGCATTAGTTGTGAACACACACGATATTCTAGAACAATCTATTTGCAGGATTGCATCATTAAAGTTGGCTAACGCTAACGCTAACGCTAACGCTACACAGGAACGGATTAATATCACTAAATAACATAATATGTCTATAAATGAACTTTTACCAACTAATGTGTGTAAGAGACATTCATTAAATCAGGACTGAACTGAAATACACGTTACATGATGATGATGATGAAGATGATGAAGATGTGTGTGTGTTTACTGGACTTACAGTCTCTTTTTGTCCACGACTCTCTTCACACGTACAGCTCTCTGTTCAGAATACAGTTTACACACACCTGCAAACACACACACAATATGAGCTGGTGTGTGTGAGTGTGTGTGTATTTCTAGTGTATGTGTGTGTGTACCTTTAAGATACGCCTCTATCAGATCCAGCACTGCAGCGCGATGATCCTTCACCTGTGCCGAGACCAGCTGTTTGTGCACTGAACACACACACACACACACACACACACACACACATCATCATCATCATCATCCACTGATATTTGGACACCAGAAATCTCCGAGATCATTTATCTTTATTTTACACATTCTGTCAGATGTCAGGATTATTAAGTGTCTCTGAAAGAGTTTCTTCTGCTCACCAGATTTAATCAAAAATACATTTAATAATCAGTGTAATATTCCTGTTCTGTGTGAATATACAGAGCTAATTATTGATCTTCATTACTCCAGTCTTCAGTGTCACATGACCCTTCACAATCACTCTAATATGAGGATCTGATGATCAACACAGTTATGATTATGATCAGTGCTGAACACAGATGTGTACAATTTCTTTTTCAGTATTTTTTGTTATTTTTGATGAATAGAAAGTTCAAAAGAGCAGAATTGATCTGAAATAGAGTATTCTGCAACATCACACACTCCTCTAAAGGGTTATTATGAACACACACTAATCACGTGTTTCTCCTTCAGAACTGCCTTAATTCTCCGTGGCATTGAATCAACAAGGTGCTGAAATCATTCTTTAGAGATGTTGGCCCATATTGATCGGATCGCATCTCGCAGCTGATGGAGATTTGTGGGATGAAGCTCCTGTTCCACCACATCACAAAGATGCTCTATTGGGTTGAGATCTGGTGACTGTGGCGGCCATTTTAGTACAGTCAACTCATTGACATGTTCAAGAAACCAATAGGTGGTTTGCAGTCATGTGATTGTATTGACGCGCGTAATGCAGGTGGAGGGCAAGGAGTGAAGAGCACAATGGACGAGATGGAGGAAAATCGTACTGTACTACTTTGACGCTATTACAAGAGACATTTATAAACAAAAAACCGAAACATATGTTGGACGTGATCCTTACGTTTTGAAGAGGACCGATTTTCAACTGAATTGAGAGATTTGCCTGCCATCGAGGCTGTAGATATCAGCAACTAACTCGTCTTACAGACATACTTTGACTTTACAAAGTTCGGAAACTGGTACGTTACACAAACAGCCACATAAGTGTATTTAAACACCTGAATAATGTCATTATAAGCCACATAAATATTAACTCACAGTTGATGAAGTGATCACTGCACACACACACACAGGCATTTTCCCATTCGGCTCCTCCCGACCGCAGACGGAGGTTTATAAGGCATTTTCCCGGTGTTTTTCTGTCAATTTCTTGTATTTTCCTCCCTATGAACAACAACTTTTGTCACACGATAAAAACTCCTCGTGGTTTGATCGATATGAGCAACCATAAACGACAGAAAACATAGGCATTTTGAGTGTGTTAAAGTGCTTCCTAAATATAGAAAATCACTTCCTGCCCTCCGTCTGCGCTTCGCGCCATGGCAACGCAGTTGCGTGACGTCACGTAAAAACAAGCTATATGAAACGACTCCAGCTTTGTGACATGGTCATTATCCTGCTGGAAGTATCCATCAGAGGATGGGGACATGATGGCCATAAAGGGATGGACATGGTCAGAAACAATGCTCAGGTAGGCCGTGGCGTTTAAACGATGCCCAATTGGCACTAAGGGGCCTAAAGTGTGCCAAGAAAACATCCCCCACCCACGCCAAATTCGGACTCTACCATCTGAAATCGAGACTCATCAGACCAGGCAACATTTCTCCAGTCTTCAACTGTCCAGTTTCGTTGAGCTCTTGCAGATTGTGGCCTCTTTCTCCTATTTGTTTTAATCATTGCTTAAATCCGCTTTCTTTCCCATTCTGACGTTCAGTTTGGAGTTCAGGAGATCGTCTTGACCAGCAACACACCCCGAAATACACTGAAGACACTGCCATGTGATTGGCTGATTAGATAATAACATTAATGAGAAATTGAACAGGTGTCCCTAATAATCCTTTAGGTGTGTGTGTGTGTGTGTGTGTGTGTGTGATGACTGAGGAGGAGCTCGTACTGTCGGAGCGCAGCGAGGCGATGGCGTCAGCACAACTCCTCATGAAGACCTGAGCGTCCTGATCGATCTGATCCCGCTCGCTGTCCGTCATCCGGGACACGTCTGAACACAACATGCTGCACACACACACACACACACACACATTACACACATATATCCTGTATAGCGTGTGTGTAACAGTTTGGTTCGTCTGGTTTCTGACCTGCCGGCGTTCACATAATCCTTCCTGTGTTGCAGAAGAAACTCCTTCAGCTTCGAGATGTTGGAGATCTGCAGAATACACAGCAGAACATCAGACACACACACACACACTCACACACACACACACACACACACACACTCTCTCACACACACACACACACACACACACACACTCACACACACACACACACACACACACACACACACACACACTCACACACACACACACACACACACAGATGTTGGAGATCTGCAGAATACACAGCAGAACATCAGACACACACACACACACTCACACACACACACACACACACACACACACACACACACACTCACACACACACACACACACACACACAG